CTAGCTCGTAGGACACAAACGCGAACCTGTGAAGGGATTGATTCCGGTGACTTCGAAATAAACAAGATGTAAGGCTCATACACGACCTAGTTTGGAAGACTGATTCCCAGCACACTTTACATAATTGTTGTGCCTACCTCCTATTTGTTGTGGACATGGGCCCAATTTTTCTCGAATTCATGCTTGCAAAAGCTTTCCAACCCTTGGCTTCTCCAACGCGGCAACGGCTGGGAGGCTGGATTTCAGCCGTGTCCCTGGGGAGCCCGGCTGCAATGTGGTTGAATGGGCTGGCTGGGCGGACGGCGCAATCGCCGTCTCAGCCAGGCCTCACAATTTTCGAGCTGCTTTTAGGGTGGGCGAGAGCGAGAGAGAGAAAGAGAAAGAGGGAGAGAGCCCGAAAAGTTCTTGAGTGATCCCTGTGTTAGCGAAAACCGCGCGACATCGGAAAATTGCTTGTGGAAGATTAGTTTCACAAAGCCTCACAAAACCCGGACCATTTACAGGTTGCCTAGTGGCTTGGGTTGCAACGTCCCAATCCTCTGGGGAGGTTGCTAGGTAATCTCTCGTTTTTGACCTCACCTCCTTCAAAACCAGGGGTCGATCAAATGCCCCCCAAGACCTCGGGTGCTTCGATAAGCTAAGCTTTGTGGGGGGGTGTTGACAAACACGCGCAGGGCAAACACACATGCTGCGCACACACAGGTGAAGATGCTCGTCTGGCACGCGCAAGCAGCCGAATCGCATTCACAAAGCGGTCAGGCTGGTGACAAGTTCATTTCGACTGACGTCATTTTGACTGCATGACTCTCGGTCATGCCCCTTCCAGCACTTGCCCTGTCAACCTGAGCGCAAGCCATCTCCGATAGCGGGCTCCGTGGGGTGGTTCCGTGTTTTCTGGACAGCAGAGATGCTTCTTCTTGAATCTCACCAGGACATCTTCAGTTGCAGACAGCTCGCAGATCCCGTGTTGAACTTGGTGCTTGAGGTTCTTGCCACGTCAGCCCGATCTCTTTTGGCTTGAACCTGCCGTGATCATTGGACCTGGAACGGGAGCCAGCAGGCTCCAAGCCATCGCTCGCCGCTTGCTTTGTAAACTGCCACCCGGCTTCTCGGGCTGCGGGAGTGCTTGCATGCCATGCATCTCGGCTTCAAGCTGAGGCTCCCACCTGTTGCCGGGGTCACAGCCTTCCGCGAGCAGGCTGGCTTCGGCTGAATGAATTTACACTGCATGTCGAGACCCCAACCATCCGTGCCAGAATATAGCATGGTGACATGTTGCCACCAAAAGGCACAAATGTGGGCAAATATCCCCAAGGTCACTGCGTGTATTGTACCCGAAACATCCCCAAGGCTGAAAATCTGGAAAGAAGGCCGTCAAATTAAGGATGCAAAATCACTGGCAGTCTTTCCTTGAATGGGTTTGTCTTGGGCAGGTTGCCATCTTCGATACTGCAAGCGTGGCTTCACTGACAAAGGTGTGGTTTCAGCATGGGTTGAACAAGGGGCGCCTATACTGAAGAGCCAACCTTGCGGCATTCAAAGAACATGCAACAACAGTTCTCAACAAAAAGTGCGGCATTTGGCAAGCCAACGTTCCAAAATGCTAACACATTAGTTGCAAGGAACATGGTTGCACATGGTTGCATGCCTCAAATGCTGAACTCTTTTGGAAGTTGGGAAGCTCAATGCCAAATGTGTGACAAGCCGAGGGCAATGTGGGCCTCCTTGTGCATTAGCTGCGGGTTCACAGGTTCAGCATCTCATGCACACGTGCCAATCCAAACCTTCCCACAACTCACAATCACGGTTCCAAAACAACCTTGTCCCGGAACACGCTTTTGGCAAGGTTGGGCAGCCTTGCAGAAATAAACAACATGTCAAACCTCATTGTCAGGCTGCTGCTTACACTCACGCAATGCGGCCGCCTCTTTGTTGAATTAGGGGGCTCAAGCCTGAACGATTACAACTTGGCTTCCAACTATTCAGTGCATCGGCAGGGGATGTTCAGAGAATGTAAAATTGAGCCACTTGGTGCGCAACTCGTGCTACGTTGCCCCCAGCAAAATGTAGAAACACTATAAACCTGGAAAATGTCAAAACGGTTGTAAGTGGGTTGCGGATGGGATCAGCTTGATGAGGGCCATGTTCCGGAGAAAAAGGAGTGGATCAGGGTGGAATTGGCTTGAATCCGACCCAAGCCCCTGCACTTAGTGCAATGCCAAAAAGTTCCTGGCTGAGGAAGTCTGCCGTTTGCCGTTGCGCTTGCTTCGTTTGGACGTCGACGTTGGACCTCAGGCGTCTCCCGCATCTCAAGTCGGCCCCTCCGGCGCCTGGGCTCTTGGCGCCTCGGGGGCCAGGAAGGCCTCGAGCGAACTGCTCAGACGTGGGTCTCGCTTTCTGGGTACGTCCCTGGGTTCTCCAGAAGTCAAAAGGATAGCAAAGCTACTCTGAGTGTCTCCGGAAAAAACAAAGGGGGAAGAAAAAAAACAGAGCCAGGTGCAGCAGTCTGCGTTTCAGCTTTGACGGGGTTCAGATATGATTGTGCGGATCTTAATAACTGGTTGATGCCCCGCAAGTATCCCTCACAGTCCCCGATGGTAAATTCCGCTGTCACTGTGTAATGCCGCAGGCTGTTCGTTGCATGGCTAACCCTTGCCCCTCGCACCTGGGAACTGGCAGCGCCAGCGCCCACGACGCTCAAGGCGGTGAACGCACACCTCGCCAGCAAACACAAGCTTGATTCCAACAATCAGAACTGCCACCTAGGAAAGGGCGATGACAACGACAACCCTCTGACCGGGAGACAAGTGAAGTATCAAGGGAAGCTGCCATCCGAATTCTCCCAGCTAACTCTTTGATTTGTTTCCTGACTTGCATACTCGATGGGAAAAGCGAGCAACTTGCAACAGGATTGTGCTTTTCATCTCGAATTTGGTCAAAATGCAGGAAACCTTCTGCCTGCCTGCAACATAACCTTGACTTGGCCTTTCATTGTGTATCTCAATAGTGGCAAACTCACTCGCACCCTGATAAGCCATGAACATGTTAAGCATGTCCTTCCCAAGCCAGCCGAGCTCAATCTTGACAAGTTGTCCTCGAAGACAGTCAACACAAAGAACTACACATGGCTGCATCCTGAAAATGGCCCAAACGGGGAATCGCTCCAATGAAGGTCGCCAGCTCCCCATCTGCGCCTCTGCATAGCCCTGAGCCCAAAGAAAAAACACGCCCGGCTACACTCGCTGGAGCCGACTGCGCTACACTGCGCCCGGGCGAACTACCCTGAGCCCTCGGGCCTTATCACGTGTAATGAGAGAATTCCAGACCCTTCTTCCAACAGTCATGGCTCGAAGGGTGTCGAAAGACTGCACTGGCCGGATAAAAGTTGCCTTCTTGAAGGTCAGAGCTATCACCGACCTACCGGGGAAGCGGGGGGTGCACGGTCAATTTTGGACCCGGGAAGCCTGTTATACTTATATATTTAAAACAAAGTTGACCGTCCCACGCCTGCCACACAAACCGCGCTTGGTAATTCGATCCGCGGCTGACCGGGTAGTGTCTTAGCATAAACTTTTGTGCAACTGAAGTAGTGTCCTCTTCAGACGGCTTGTTGTCGACTTCCCTGTAAATAAGAACAAGTTGAAAATCAAAGGAGTTTGAAGCACGTGCTGGAGCTTCTCTGGAAGCAATTGGTTGCACGGTTGGACCTTAGACCACAAAAAGCGCCGTTCCGCAAAATCGGGTAATGGGCAAAGAAACATCAGCATTGAGACGAAGGCAAGTTTGGAAAAAGAGGTTTCAACGCTGGTAACATCGGCACCTCCTGGTGCTTTAAGTGAAGTATGTTCGAAAGACTAAAGCTTCAAGTCATTCAGAGTGTTCAAGGCTTTACGCATTTTTCTGAGGAAGCGCCGCGCATGAGTTCGACAAGGTACAACCTCTTTATGTGCGAGATACCGCATCTCACATATTCGGGGTCAACCTATATGGGCGTGGCTCAAAATTCAACAGGTGGGGTTACGCAGGTTTGGTCCATGTTTCCACTTACCAGGGTTCAATTTTGGGTACCGGTTTTTTGACCCACAGCCATGTGCAAAAGTCATATTGTGAAATCCCAAAAGCAGCCATACAGTTCGGTCCCCTCAGCTTCATGCGCGTCATGAAGGCCATGTCTCGTCGCACGAGCAAGAGCCACACACGATCCGGAAACCCAATTTGGGTAGGAATGCGGATCATGGAGCCGAATAGGAACAAAATGTCTAAAGTCTTGCGCTGGTTGCACCTGACATTGGACAGGCCACCCAGTCACACGCTGCAATCGGCTGAATGATAAGTGCTCATTATGCTGCCTTGACGGCTCCACTGCCCCTGAATGAGCAACGCTGAGTGAAATCAAACAATATCAATCTACATGGAATGTTCCCAGTACGACTTTGCACGGTCAACATCAATCGTGCCAACTCCTCAAGGTGGCAGTTGCCGAGCCACCAACTTCGCCAAACAGAAGTCCGAACTGGGCATCCTAACATAGATGAACATTGGCTCACCCATGCGCCCCGAAAGTGAGGGCTCCCTACTTTCCCCTTTGAACCTCGCCCCAAAGGAAGCTCCATCTAAATTGGCCCAGAAAAGGTTGCTTGCGGCCAATGCGAGAGGCCGCTGCCAGGCTGGCAGCACCGTTTCTTTCTTTTTCACACGCCGGCTTTGGGCGAGAGAGGAGGGCAGAGAGTGGTCTAAGAAGAGCTGCACTGGGTGGTGTGCATTCAGCAGAAGGGCTCAGATCCAGCAGGGATCCTTACATTATACACCTGAGGGTAAATGGTGGTTTCCCTTTATTTCTGTGGAAAAGGCTATGTTTCAAATGGGCAAAATGTATCTTTTAAGGAGCTCAGAGGAATCCAACCCAATGCCATTTCCAGCTGGAGAGCAGCCCTGGCTAGTGTACTGCCCGCTACACACAAATCGGTCAGGCATGCGTCAACCGAACCCCGCTCCGACATTCAGTACCTTCCAAGACGCCTGGCGACAAAGCGCTTGCGGAAGAATTCGTCTTTGAGAAAAACTTGGATGCCTCTGCAAGAGCTGATGAAGCTGAATGACCTCACCATTGCTGTTGCACACTACAGCTCATTCAAGTAATGGGCAGCTCGCAAAACACAAGCCCACAATCCCTCAAAAGCCGCGCGCATACTGCCGTGCACACCACCCCGGCCAACAATCCGTGGCAACCACTTCCAGTTTCGCCGAGCTCGCAAAGCAGGCCAGCTATGCAGGTGGGAGTCACAGCTTGTGAACAGTGCTCCAAGGCCCAGGTGGTACCAGCCCGACAAACAATGAAACCAGTGCGACGGGAAAACGTGACTTCCAGATCGGGTACGCCGGGTGCGCCGGGTAGGCGCCGGGTGCGCCGGGTACGCGCCGGGTGCGCCGGGTACGCGCCGGGTGCGCCGGGTACGCGCCGGGTATGCGCTGGGTACGCGCCGGGTGCGTCAGGTACGCGTGGGGTGCGCCGGGGTTGCGCTCGTAGCATGTGCAATTTTAACTTCTGTCATAAGTGTCACAAAATGCCAGTAGTTGTTCATCATGTGAACAACTACGATGGCCATTTAAATTACTCAGAACGCTGAGAAGTTGAGCAGTGAACCGATGCGATAGCACAGAACAGTGAGAAACAAATCAATATTGGTTTGGATAGTTGACATGTTCAAGACAGTTTCAGTTTCATGATTCAGAACTGCTTCATTGGATAAACTAGGTTCTTTTAGGAGGTCTGACACTACGCATGAAAGAAATAAGTACTTCAAGTAGATGGGTTCTACGTGAGAACTGGCAGAACCATTTTAGCTTTGGTAGAAAATGATGTAATAAAAACTTCAAAATAAGTTGACTTCTTGACTGAAAAAGGAGTTAAGCTGTATGGCTATCTGCTATTTCAAGCGAAAAGATTGACGGCCGAAGGCTTGACCGTCGCCTGCTGGCCCTGGGTGTGGCCCTGAAAAGACATTGAGGCTTCGACTCCTCCCTGGTCCATCCCAACCAAGCCTGATTTGTGAGGTGCGAAAATTTAACATGTCGCACCTCACAAAGTTAGACCGCGCCAGCCTACCCGGACACCCCGGCCTCCCAGCCATCCCGACCATCCCAACCGCCCCACAAAACGGACACCCTCCCAGCCGTCCGAATCATCCCCACCACCCCGACGAGCCGACCGTCAGTACCAAGCCTGATTCCCCAAGAAAATGTTTGAGGTGCGAAAAGTCAACATTTCGCACCTCACAAAATTAGACAGCAAACTGCAAGTGTCAGCCGCGGTTGGGGTCGGCGGAAGTCAGGCGTCAGCCTGGTAAATATGGGAATATCACGGTTTGCAATTGAAAATCGATGTGTTATTGTTGGCCGACATGATTGAATTTTTTAGAGACGTATGCATGAAAGACTATGTTTGAGACCCAGTGTATTATGACACGATACCTATCCTCGCTTTGGGTGATATGTTAAAACCAACTGGTGATGAAATAGACTTAGTATAAGAAAGAGATGTATGAAATGGTTGAAAAAGGATTAAGAGGAGGAATGACACAAACAACCTGCAAGACAATAGAAGCAAACAATCAATACATGCAGAATGACTATGATGAAACCATTGAACGTAGTTATATTCGCCTTGTTTGACGCCAAAAACTAATATGGTTGAAGTATGATACAAACAATGTCATGCAACCGTTTAGGGTGGGATACTGACATTGCGAAAAAAGATATTGTAGGTTACAACAATATACTGACATTCCGAAGGAAGATATTACAGAATTATAGATTGTAAGAATGGAAAATATGGATACATATATATATATATAATAGAGGTAGAGAAAGAATAGACAAAAGAACTCCACGATTTACAAAATGGTTATCAAGGAGCACCTGAACTTAAACATGTCAAAGCAAATACGCTTAAAAATAAGCAGGTTCAAGTTACTTCATGATGATAAAGCCCCGAACGCTGAACAACAATTAAACTAATATTGAATGTAATCCATGTAAGAACTTTAAAAAGTATACTGGAAACAAGCGTCAGTAGAAAAAAATACAGTAGTTAGTTTAGCATGTGGCCACTGGACAGTTCATTCCTTGAACATGTCTTAAACAAATGGTGACTTGAGGTAGTAAGTGAAATGAGTGATGCCGAAAGTGAAACTCACATGATTTAGAACGAGCAAGACAAACTGACTTAAGTAATTGCATGTGAAAATGTTGTGATATTGCATTTCGATAAAGCAATCGCAATACTAAACACGACATCTAAACCACGACCCATTGGCACTATACGAACACGTCAGACAATGTTTGGTGTAAGCAATGTGAAGAAATGGTAATAGAGCTAAAATAAAATTCATATGGTTATTGTCCACTAGTTTGTATGCAAGAACACTCGCATATTGTTTGACATTTAACGGAGACGACGCACCATCACTTGGAATATCAACAACTGATGAAACATGGCAAAACTTAACTGAGCGAAACGATACAGCATTGTCAATCCTATTTCGCAATTTGAAAATTGCAATACAAGTATAAGGAAGCCAACTACTATTAACTACTGCTGGGATAAACAAATGACATTCTAGACAGTGCTTGTTTTGTAATGTACTTTGGCCATCTTGTACACTACATGGATATGAATGAGTACTATAGACATAATGTGTGATATGGAGACTTGGATGGAAATTGCAGAAGATTTACCTCAAATCTTGTTCAATGAGCACAGCGATGGTGAAAGCGAAGGACATGAGTTGATATAATGCCTTTAAAATATATGATGTTCACTTATGACTAAATTTACCACATAAACCTTATAATAAACACACGCACGATGTAGTTCAGTTTAACCATTCACTGACATACATCACATAATAATTACTTGGTAATGACTTAAATAAATATTGACTTGTAGTAATATGAGCATGTAAAATGATGACATAGACAGCACTTTTGACAGAACTGCAATAACGTACAATCTAAATGCAGAAATAAAAATCCAACAAACGCACCAAGCTTGTTCAGTTGAATGAACACATCGTGAGTATGACCCTGGCATAACACTTGTAGAAGGTTTAAATAGTTTTGAGATGCAAGAAGCACACGATTCTAACTCGCCTTGTAAAACACATGCTCTTCGTATGTGATTCAGGACCGCTCCTGTGATGTTAAATGGTATTTCAAAAGAAGATGATTACGACAAAAAAGAAACAGGAGAGAGAGAGAGAGAGAGAGAGAGAGAGAGAGAAGGAAAAAAGCGCTTAAACATTGTAAACGGTGCAGTAAGCGACATATCAAAACTCCACAAACCTCAAACATAACAAACCTTGTAAGATGTTTCGGATAATGACAAGTTTAGTGGGAGACTGCTTATAGGCGTGCTGAGATTGAACATGGTGCACCGAGTACACTTGGTGCGTGCTAGGGTGCGCTCCTTACTCGGTGCACTCGGTGCGTACTCGGTGCACTCGGTGCGTGCTCGGTGCGCTCGGTGCGTGCTCGGTGCAAACTCGGTGCACTCGGTGCATACTCGGTGCACTCGGTGTGTACTCGGTGCACTCGATGCGTACTCGGTGCACTCGGAGCGTACTCGATACACTCGGTGCACGTACTCGGTGCGTATACTCGGTGCGTACTCGGTGCACTCGGTGCGTGCTCAGTGCGCAGTCGCTGATTGCGGCCGCAATGAAACTTTGCACGTGTGCCCTACAAGCCCCACAACCTGCAACGGGGTTTGTTCTCCTGAAGACCTTTGCCCTCTCGACCCAAAGAAATATCAACTCACGGACGCAGCTCCGCTCCACAACTCGGAGCCATGTGCCCAGTTCCCGCCTGCCAGGCGGAAATTGCAGCAGCTGCTTGTCTTCCTCCAAGTCATCCTCGAAGAAGCGCCGCCTGGCCGAAAATCCGGGAGCACCTCTCCGCGGCAGTGGGCAGGTGGCTTGAGGCTGGCTGCCGAAAGCTTCTGAGAATCATACGCATCCTGCGCATGCTGATAGGATGGCAGGTCACTCACATGGCATGTCGGTGCCAAATCTGCGCATGTCAAAGAGGTGCATAAAGAAGGAACGATTTTGATCCGCAGCCTAGCCAAGAGACGACTGTACAGTCTGCGAACATTCAAAGGCTCCACCGGCGCTTCTGGACTTCGGAACATCAGAAACGCGCCACTTGACATAACCTTGACATCTGTGCCTCATTTATCGGTTTCCCGGCAAAAGCTCTATTGCAAGAACGGAAACCTGATAATGAATTCCCTTGTTTTCACCAGGGTCGCGCCCTGGGTTCGGGGCTGCTTGCCTATCTTTGCTATTCGCTCATGTCCGCACCCCAGGTGACAAACGTGTGTCAAAACTGTTCAAAAACTGAATTCCCCTAAGCCCCGTAAGCAGCCAACATCTCATCTTTCGCAGACGTCAGCTTGTTGCGGTCCCCTGTTCATCCACCAGGTTTTTCCTCTGCAACTGATGCCTGACGGATATGGCATAATCTCACCGGCTGCCCTGGCCTGTCAGGCTTCTTGGCCGCACCTGAAGCAATGCTTTCTCTCGGAGTCATCCGCAAGACGGGAAAGCCTTGACTCTGTGCTGTGGTCTGCTCTCCCTAAACCCTAAATCGTCTGTGGCGTCTCTGTGGATTCTAGCCCCCTTGGCAGGCTCCATGCAAGTTCTTTGGTACTGCATCAGTTGATGCGGGGAATATAGAACCGACAAAACACCCAAATTCTGAATAGAATCATCAAACTTCTCCATTTTTACGTCACAGGGATCAGGCCAACGCTGTGGGCAGTCACAGGCATGGTATTCGCATCTCAAAAAGTTGGAGAATCGCAAAACGAGGCAGGTGGCAGCATGCATGGCGCCAAGAGGGGAACCCTTTCAGCTCTCAAACTTGGCACAAACATCGCGACGTGCCGCAACTTGCTCCCTCAAGTAGCTCATGTTGTGAAAAGTGGGAAGCTTGCTGAACTCATGGCGCCCTTGACACGCGAAACCAGGGCAAAGGGGCTCTAAGTGCTTTACAACACGCGATTGCAGTGCACGGGTGCAGGTGCAGAAGACAGATTATCATCATGGTGGCCTTCCGATACGTTGGGCCAATGACCCATCGAGTTGCGAAGCGACAGCTTCATGATTCACCATCTCCACAGAATTCCTTCCTCTCAAAGGGAAACACCAGAAAAAGCGCCGCGCCGATTTGCCCCCCCCCCCCCCTTCCCCGATTCCCCCATGAAATCGCATGCCTAGACTCACTTGAGCAAGAATGCAAAAGAGTGCCCTTTGCAAAGTACGCGACTTCCCTGCCTGCTTCCCTGGAGGAGCAGAAGGTGCAGATTCCTGCGCAGCCCACACAAACCTCAGCTCGCTGTCAACAATTTTGCAGCACTTCGTAGCCCAAGTGCTCAAGATTTGTACGTCTGGTTTGCTTGTGTTGACCATACTGCTGAGAGCTCTCTGCCAGTTCCTATTTTGGATTGACGCAACACATGCAAAAACCAAAGAAACACACACCGCACACATAGCATGCAATGAAGGAATGAGGGCCAACACGCGAGCTTGATAGCCACATGTCTCCATGCCAGGACGAAGCTAAGCCAAACGAGCGTCCGTGTGCTCGCGTTGGTGTTGTGCTCATGCTGAGGTGAAGGTTTCGCAGAGTCAGCCAGCCGTCCACCAAAGACTGGCACGTGGCTCACCTCCAAAGTTCGACCTGCAACCATTTGGTGTTTGTAGCTTTCTCTGAACAACTAGCAACAAGTGGGCAGTCTATCAGCACATTCCTCGCGTCTTCAGCATGGTCCCTTTCGAGTACCAGCGTGTCTGGCCCTAACGGTATGTACATCAGAAACAAATGGGAAGCCGAAATCGACAGACTGAATCTGAGTCCAGGTTGGTTCGTTTGGTTTTGTAGGGCACCTACCTGGCCCTTCCGAGACAATTCCTTGCCAAAACAGGAACCAAGGCGCCAGGAAGGTCAGCAACGTGCCAAAGCCCAGGCACCACCACTTGTACCTCCCGAGCACTCGGGCACAGCTCAAAATTTGTGTTGTGGGTTCAAACAGAAACAGAGAGCTTGCCAGGCCCAGCCACATCGAGCTGATGAAGCTTCAAAAGGGTGGTTGAAGTTAGCTAGCTGGCCTATAGTAAACCCTGGCATCAAAATGTTTGATGTTTCACGATGCAAACCCACCTGACACATCCTAAGTGCCTGATAGGCACGGAAGATTCTGCACATCTCATAGGGGTCACCGGCCCAAACTCAAATCGAGGCAGTGCCCTTTTGTTCGCTGCCTGGCATAGATGTGGTTCACCAACTCCTTGCCTTGGAGCGACAAGTTGGCTCATTGCAGAACCGGGGGCAAGTGCCAGAAACGGCATGCCATGCTGTCACCCGTCGCATGTGTTTTTTTGGCCGGACTTATCCCTTGAAGCGTCTTGCGTGGCACAATCTGAAAGAGGCAATGGAAATACAAGGCCGAGAACCCCTAACGAACCCAGTGAAGAAAAGGCAAAGATGCGGCTGCTCTTGGTGATTGCCACAGGCTTGCAGGTGGCAAATCCCACTTGCTGACTCTTGCTCTGAGGTCGCAAAAAGCAGGTGAGCGACTCTATAAACCTCCCATGAATCCCTATGTCGTATCAGGTTGCTCACGCGCGAGCTTGCGCTTTCCTTACGCGACCCATGTTTAGCTTACGCAGCAGTCAGCGAGCATGCTAAGCTTACGCATCGCTTACGCATCGGCGTTTTGAGCGTTTCCCCTCAATAATTGCTTATGCGGCCTCCTTTTCCAATGCAGCCGCCAGAACTGTTCAAAGTGACGTGGATGACCCTTAGGAAGAAGATGACGAAGAACCACTCGCGAGTTTCAGCTTGGCGTTGTTGTTCTTTTTGCAGGCCAAAAAACCCGGCGGCATCTGAGACGAGGGCTGGCGGGCAGCCGAGCTAGGCGAGCTTACGCGAACCTTACGCGAACCTTACGCGCCCGCTTACGCGAGCTTACGCGCCGAGCCCCTTTAGTTTTCTTACATTCGCTGTTTCAGAAGCCTTTGCTCCCAGTAAAGGTGGCAACAGCACCTGGCACGAAATGCAAGAGCTCCCAACCAAAGTTCTGCTGGTTTTGTTTTCTATTGGTGCGCACATACGGTTTTAGACGTCTTCCTGCAAACAAAGTCTCCAGGCAAGTTGCCAAGCTCGACCAGGTTGAAGCAGCACAAGCCACCAATAGACACATAAGCACACGTGTGAAACAACTCTTTTTAGCATGTTTACAAAGCTCACCAAGCAATCACGAAGAAGAGCTTACGCCGGTGCTTACGCAGCATGTTTCCCCAAAAAGTGCTTACACCGGCTTACCCCGTGCAGGGTTTTGCTTACGCAGGTCTTGTTATGACACAACTATTGCTTGGGATGTTAAAGGGGCGTTTTTAGAGCTGCTCAGGTGGTGTCAGACAGCGCCGAGTCAACAACCATCAGCTGCTTCGCTTCTTCATGAGCACATTTCAACAAACAAATCCACCTCACTTTGTATGCAACAACTTAGCCTCCTTGTTGGGTCTTGGTTGGAGCATTCAAGAACCGGACGCAATCACCTGCCCACCTGACCGAGGTCCGCACACTTTCCATCCGGCTGGATGACCTTCGCATCCGCTGCGAGTGCGGCCATAAGTTCTTAGGTTCGAGTACGGATCCTTCGCGACGCACTGACGGCTGCATCTATTCCAAACGTTAAGAATCCATATTGGCCTCGGCCCTCACGGGTGGTCGGTGCAGGCCAGGTGAAAGGTTCCCAACAACTGAAAGCTTTGAGGTCTCAGCCCAGATAGGCTCCGGTGAGTCAGGGTTCCGCAGGGTTTCGCGAGGGTTCCGCGAAGGCTCCACCAAAGCCGTTTTCATTGATCGGGCTGGGATGCATTTGCGGGCCGAAACAAAGCGCGGCATGCTGTTGAGGATATCACCTCAGCTTATTGTTGAGTCATGTTGCTTCAAGGCGCGAGGGCAGTTTTGAGCTTACAGTGAGGCATCGGTTGTTTGGGTTTGTCGCGATTGTCACAGAAAAGTCACAACTCTATAGTCAGGGGTGGGGCAGTGCAATTGAAACCACTAGTCTTGGTTTGAAGGCAGTCATGGCCAGCATCACCGCCAACATCACATGTTCCGATTCTGTTGCGCGTGTTGCGCGTGTAACCAGCTGAGAAAAAAAAGCTTGTGCAGCGACCGCATCGCTAGCATCACCAGCATCAGGCCATTGTTTCCGGGCGTGTGAAACGCTTGCGGCAGCATTAAATTATCCTGGAGGTGCAACAGCTGGTCATTGAGCGGCCGTTGCTTACAGGCTCCACATCAAATTTGGCCACACATGTCCTAGCATGCCAAACTGGAGTTGCAGCAAGGTTGCCAGTTTAGATCGGATCGTTTTGGAAGCAGAATATTCCAACCAGCATCAGGGTCTGCTTTGAATCACAGCAAAAACGAAACAAACGGAACTTAACTAAGCGGACTCGTGCAAACCTGTGAGACAAATCAGTGGCCACAGCAATTCGATAGGTCAGAACTGCCTGGAAATCGTTCAGGTGCATTTGTTTGTCCCGGCAGCCACATCTGAAGCGAGAGGACCTACCCAAAAGTGAGACCTTGTCATGACAAGAAAAAAATCCGGGTTGGTATACTCCTCAGGCACGGGCATATGCAAACTGGGTAGTATCCGGGAAGCACATCTTGCAGTCCAACAGATCGGTACAGACCTTGCACATGGTTGTGCGGCTTTTGCCGCAAAAACGGGGCTTTGCGTGCCCTGGCGAATCTCGCAGAAAAAGTCGTCCACCGCCCCATCGGCAAATGATCACAAGAACTTGCCAGGCTCTGTGCTTGCCCAAGTGTACCGATACAAGCAAGATTATGAATTTCCTGCCTGGCAAGAACAGCCTCACTTGTCACCTGTCAGTCGCCATTGCAGAAATGCATAAGGTCGCTGCAGCTGAATGAATCGATGGAAGCCGCAGATTTGAATGACTCCCACCAAGGGGGTTACCACCAATTGGCTTCCACCAAGGGATGCTTTGCTCATGGGTCAAGAACTTGCCTTGTGTGTCAAAAACACACAAGCCGATGCCTTGAGAACTCGGCGAAGCAGCTATTAAGTCAAAGATGGCTTAGGGCATGTGGGCTGCAAGGCCCCAGCTTTGCAGTTGCTGTTGCACTGCGAGCATCGGTGGTCCTCGTTGCGGTAGAAGCCTCCAGAACACCAAGCGTGCCAAACGATGCAGTGGGTGATGTAGACAAAACGGACTCGCGTCTCAACGCTTCAGCTTGCAGCAAATTTTGGAAGACACCCGCAGCGACACTTCTCTGCACTCCGCCGCCTTCTGGGCAGAAGTTCACGCATTTCCTGGGAGACCAAGTGGGAACATAGTTGCGCCATCGTTGAACACGCTGATCAAGGCTAGGACCCCAAACTTGCTTGGAGAACACATCAAGGATGCACATGTCTGCGTTTCTTCGTTTGAGAGTCTTTTCCTGAGGGCTTGGGCAAGGCTCACGAAGGGCTAGGATGAGGGCGTTAGGTTGGCTGAGCTTGATTGATGTAGGGCAGGTACGGTATGGGGTTGTTTTAGGGTTTGTTTCGTTTGGGGGCATGATACTCAAAGCCAATCAAGCCACAAAAGTCGCGCAACTGCCACAATCAACAGCCTGGCGAAAATGCTTTGAAAACAGCAAGCACATAATCAACGCTTTACAAGGGCGATCAATATCTAGTTGCACGCTAATCAAATCGCAGGTTCGGTTCAATGGGATTGCCTCCTTTGATCATCCCTGAACACTGCAAGTGTGAGCTTTTGAAGACTGGATTTCCTTTTGATGGTGCGTGTCCATTCAAATGAGCGGCTTTGCCCAAACATTGCCGAAATTCATCTGGCATGTTGGGTTCATGATTGGGGACCTCACGAACCATGACATGAGGGCTGAATTACCGACGATGGCCATCTCCTCATCCACTAAAGACTCAGGCAAATCGCTCAATCTGTCTTCATCAAAGGAAGCTTGATGGAAAAACCCGCATGCTGCCAAACTTTGAATCACTCAGTCCCGAGCATGGGCGCTGTAGTTTCGAGTGTCCGTTTGGAGAAAGCGAAGAAGACTTCGTGACAGGCTGGAAGCACGTCCCCGCTGGAAGCAGCCGCGCTTGCCGGGTTCCAACCTTCAAAGCCTCGCAACTTTTAAGCACGGAAGTAGCACTCGAAGTTCACTCCTGCAGCGTGCAACTGGGATCTGTGCAAGCTGGCGTTGCTCCGTGCAAGCTGGCTTTTTTTTCTGCAAGTTGTTCTGCGCAGGTTGCTCTGCGCACGTTGCTCTGCGCAAGTTGCTCTGTGCAAGTTGCTCTGTGCAAGTTGCCATGCGACGTTTTGGCTTGAGCGCTGTGGTTGATCGGCTCTTCTGTACGCACTTTCTTCCTTTAGACACTTCCTCTTTGCGATTGTCTGATAACCTCCAATGACCAAGCTAAAGCTTTGAGGAAGGCTCTCGGCCGGAATGCTTTCAGTGTTCGCGACCCGATCCGCTCCTCTTCTGCGCCTCAAAGTAGGGCCTCTCCTCTGGGCAGTTCCCTCGCTCCACGTTGAGCGTGTAGGTGCCGATGCTGGCCTCCGAAGCTACAGGCGCGTTGCGACATTTCTGGACCGAATCACGGGTCAGAAGACAAGCGCTTCGAATGTTTGTTTTGCGTGAGCTGGTCAGCTAGACCAGCGACAAGCAATCAGATCAAATCATGAATCATGAGCTTGGATGGAAGCTGAACTTTGTTTGCACATTCCACTGCACTGGGTTTCACTATGTACAAGTACCAGCCCGACTGTTTGCCCGCAAGCCTGCGTTGGGTCGGCGCATTGGATGGTAAAAGTGATGCGGCGCTCATATCCCACATCCAACCTCGACTGGTGCTAGAGCAGCATGCGTGTGTATGCCTTGAATGCTGACCTCAAACAGCCACCTGAAGCATTTCACGTCGTGCCTTGCACTGCCGGAACATTCGCCCACATGCTAGCTGCCTCGAATGACCCATTAAAAAAAACTAAACTCCTTGCATAGGAACCAACTCTCCGAGAAGCAGACATAAAGCTCGTGGCAACGTCCTTGTATTGCACCTGGCGACTGGATGTTGTAAGTGCACTCTTCAGCGGCAAGCGTAGTTTGAAAGCTATCTAAGGAGAATCAAGCACTGCTGACGCTCTCAATCAAACTACTCACAGGAGCGCACGCTTGACGGTCATCCAGCACGGCAGGACGTCTCGAATCCGCCGACCCTCTCCCAGCCTCCTGCAGAGGGGACCGGCGTGGGATGCAACTGGAAGTGATTGGAATCAATGATAGTCCCTGCAAAACACCCCCGAACCCACAAAAAGTGGATTCCCAGGACCGGTCCCGGGACCGGTCCCGGGACCGGTCCTGGGACCACCTGGGACCAGTCCTGGGACTGGTCCTGGGACCCTGGTTCTGCTGTTTCGGATTACTTGTAGTCAGCCAAAACCAGTCCTGGGACTGGGACCGGTCCCGGGACCAGTCCCAGGACCGGTCCTGGGACCAGTCCTGGGACTGGTCCTGGGACTGGTCCCAGGACCAGTCCCAGGACCGGGGTTTGGTTCCCAGGACCGGTCCCAGGACCAGTCCTGGGACCGGTCTGGGAAGCCGGTCCGGGATCGAGTCCTGGTGTGACCGCTGGTATTGGGTCCCAATTCAAACTGCTGTGCTGCCTCAAACCGTTCCAGACACCTTTCCGGACTGGCACCCATGACCCTGCGACCAAACCGGCCCGTGCGGTTGTTGACGTCCTTGTGGTAGTAGAGGATCCCATCTATTCTGCAAGAGAGTCCAATACGTCAAGTCAAACCGCGCCAGACTGGGACCAGCCTGGACAGGGTCCCAACCCGGTCCCTGCCGGCGACCGGTCCAGGGCAACTTCGGGAGGGCCAGTTTCAGGGCGACCCCGGGAGAGGCGACTGCTCCCGGCCAACTCGAAGTGACTTGGGCGCAAGCCGGCCCGGTAATTAACGGACTAGCTGCCCTATTTCTGACTTTTCCTAATCCTTGTTTCTGGTCAACTTCGGGAGGGCCAGTTTCAGGGCGACCCCGGGAGAGGCGACTGCTCCCGGGCCAACTCGAAGTGACTTGGGCGCAAGCCGGCCCAAGCGGTAATTAACGGACTAGCTGCCCTGTTTCTGACTTTTCCGCTAATCCTTGTTTGTGGTCGTAGAGGATCTTATAAGTGGTCCCTGGGTTTGCGGACGTGTTTCAGGACCGGTCCTTGTGACTTTTCCCTTAATGCGCCGAGGGTCGGCGGCAGCAGGCGGGAGCCTGGTTAATAACAACTGACAAAAAAATCTGAGACGGGGTCCCTAAAGTCTCGCTGGGAAATCAACACGCACAGGACACTCAAAATTGATGGCAAGTACCTTAAATCTGCTATACTCCTCAACCAGAGCTCATCGTGAGCCGAACAAGTGGTTCCTCAATTCCTGCTGATATTGCTTCCTCGGCTGTCAACAAGGTGCCCAGGTTGTCATTGGTTAGGGTGATTCCCTGTAGCGCAGCAACAGACCTGGGGGGCGTACAAAGACGTGGCTTGCCTTTGCATACGTTGCTCGAACTGCAACTGGCCGGGACTCACATGACCTTCGCCGAAAACGCCCAGAGGTGGATCCGGTTCAAAAACTGGGAACCTCTTTTTGGCATTGAAGGAAACCACTCAGGAACTAGTACCCATTGTTTTTCAGAAACAGCCAAGTATTGGGAGCAATACCTCACCCTCAAAGGAACCGCCTTCGAGGGTTCAGCCACCCCAGGCCAGAGCACGCCTCTCCAGAGGGAGGATGCAAGTCTACGTCCCGCTCCAGGACCCTAGGCGCCAATGGCTGGACAAGACGCCCGTCAAGAGCCAAATATGGCAGTTGGGTCATGATCAAAACCCGGTAGTCAAACGGGCATGGGTCAGAATTAAACCACCAGGAATTGGACCGCAGGTTTTAGTCTTCTCCATTCACCAGCGCTCCATACTGGGTACATATTTTTCACCCACACCCAAATGGTCGACCCGGAACCATGTAAAAAATAAAAAAAGGCCGCGGCTAGTTATGGCTGGGACTGTCCCTGACTCATCTTCATCTACCCGGGTTTGGATTGTGGCTCAGTTGATGCTTAGGGGCCTTTTGTGTGTTGTGCTTCCGTGTTTTGCTGGATTCTGGAGTCAGCCGCTTAAAAATCCACGTACAAATGACAAAGCGGCGAGTTCTGGAAACACGGCGTGATCAACATGAAACTTCCCGTGACCTGAACAGCTCAGTTTCTTCATATCCAGCAAAATCAAACCCTCCACCCTTGAACAGGGATAGTACGCCAAATAGCAGGTTACGTGTGGAAAGGGATGGCGAATTGGTGATCTGGCCTGCGGCCTGTGTGATTGCTGGATGGTACCCACCAGTCAATAGAATTATTATCATTCCAATGGGTTCAACGGCAACCGATCGAACTGAATCTTGTACTGTAGCAAAGAAGACTTCACAAGATGTTCACCTCCAGCCAACCTGCCTCCATTCTGCGCAAGGCAGGCACACAAGCACATATCACCTCGAAACCGCACATTGCGAGCACAGCGACCACTGCCCTGACATAAGTAGGCCATTTGTGTTTGTGCAAAGAGATCTGCTCACTTTCGCGTGCCTAGGACAGTGTGAGGATGAAAAAAGCAACCCAAGTGGTGCCCAAACAGCGCCTACTGTGTCAATCAACAAGTGCCACTTGAAACAACAGGCCAAGCCTGGGATTGAATCTTTCAGCCAAATGGCCCATGTTCGTCAGATCAAGGCTTTGGCCCGGACCAATCCTGCCCCCCATCGGCTGAGGCCGCTGCCCCAAACGCCGAGCTCCCAACATCTCCTCGCTGGCTTGAACCCACCAGACGGGCTCATGACTTGCTTTACTTGATTGGCCTGCCCATGTGCGAGTAGACGCACTGACACGCCCCTGTGTTTGAAGCCGCGGCGGAGGCTGCAAGTCCTGTCTTCGCGCACTGCACCATTGAACGCAACGGCTTGGTGCTCCAATTCTGGCTGACAATGCAAACGACCTAAACTCATCGACTCGCCGAACCATCCCTAGCATCGCTCCTCAGGCCCGGCTTCTACGCGCAAACGTTGCTCATTGTCCCGCAGCCGGTACCTGGGAAAAATCAAGCTGCTGCGCTCCAGGGGAGCTGGCAATTCTGAAGGTGAGTGGCCACCTGTGGAAAAAAAGAAGTGGATCTTGAGATCAACCCTTCAGGTGGCGCCTTACCTGCAGCACCCAGCCTCATGACCAAGGCAACTCATGGCGAGTCGCAGGGGCACAGGACCTTGATCATGTCAGCTTCCAGGTCTAAGGTGACCCTGTAAACACGCACCTAGGCACAGCTCGAGTTGACGCGCGCAAGGAAATACATCCGACTTGCAGTGGAAATAGCAAACTCGCAAAGGTGAAGAGAGACTTGATTTGGGGGGCATTGTGGCCAAGTGGTGAGTACATTTAGGTATTTGAAGGCGGGTGTGGAGGAAAGACCCGGCAAGAATTGGCATGGACAAACCAGAAGACATGTCGACACCCAATGCACAAGCCTTTTCCAGAGTCCTCTCTGCGATGCCCAAAGCGCGCAACCTCTGCGCGCTCACGCCAGTCCCCACCGCCCAAAACCAGTCTGAGGCCTGCGCTTCTGGCGAAAACGGGAAAGGTGTTAGCTTTCCGTGCTGCACCTGCGTCAAACCATCTGCACTCAAATCCCGCTTCCTCATCGCAGAGGTACATTTAGTCGTTTGTAGCAAAGTAAAGTTCAGCGACCTTCCCTGTGTTCATGCCCCTCCTGGCAGCCTTCAAGAACTCTGCGGAAGTTCGATTGAAGCCCTGGCTTGGACATGGCTCTCCAAATCAGAAAACCCTCAAAGCTGTGTGTGTTTCCCGTGTCCCTTCAAAGCAGCGCCTAAGGGGCAACCGGGCAACCCGCGATGCCCGTCCTCAAGGCTCTGCAGCTGCGTCTCGGAGCCCAAGAGCCGCTTGACCGTGACGCTGTAGGTCTAGCGGACACTCGAGGCGGGAACTCGACGCTTGGATTGGACGCTCCTGAGCTATGGGTCAAAATTCATCCACCAGAAGCAACCGCAGGTTATAGTCCTTGTTTTCTTTTTTATCAGGGTTCCATTTTGGGCATCTATTCTTGACCCACACCCAGCTGCTCTTGCACCTCTCTCTCTCCCTCTCTTTCTCTCTCTCTCTCTCTCTCTCTCTCTCTCTCCCTCTCTCTCTGTCTCGCTCTCTTTCTCCCTACCTCCTTGTGGCCGCTCTCCGCATGCTTGGCGTAAAACTTGAGCGTCACGTCCCCACCGATCTCCACAGCCTCAAGATCTCCACTGGGGATAAACCAAATCCTTGCAATTTCTCGAGACTGGTATCCCACATGTCCAAAGTTTGCCAAAAGGGGGTGCTTCTTTCCCAACTCTCCTCCCACGCAACGCAAAATCAGCCACGCCTGGCAAGCTTCGTAATTGCTCTTGGGAGGAGAGTTTGAGGCAAGTGTTGGATGCAGGAGGCTGTGAATCTCCATGGACATCGTGCAACACACGTCGAATGGCTTTGCGGAATGTAGTCCACGCGCATTCACCATGTTGCCTTTTTTGCAATCATGGTGATTGTTGCTACTAAATGCCATGGGCACTGTCAGTAGTATTAATTTCTTGCACAAACCAGCTCAAATCAAGCTACTATAAAACCCTGGTTGCTTTGTGTTGCCCACAGCCACAATCACGGCCACCAAAGCAGCCTTCCCCAAACTGAACTCTGCCATCGAAGAACTTCAAATTGCCGCCTGGCCAGCCGGAACACACACACTCACACCTTGGGTGACCCCAATTGGGCAGCAAATAAGTTCAAGCACGCACTCATGGTCCTCTGGTGCAAGGAACTCGGTCCCCCGAACACCCACCGCGAAACTTGCATCTTTCGAACACACCCCCAGCTGCAAGTCCCCCGCCGTTGGCTCTTTCGGCACGCCCTCATCCTCGCAGCCTGTGTCTGGGCGGACGTTGACCTTGTGCGCCATCCAGAGAAAAACCCCGCAGAAACGAGCGGCGAGAAAGCGAACTGAGTGGAGTGAACCATTTTTTCGGCAAATGCGCTGCGGTCACAAGCACTTGTGCGGGCAATGATCAGGAGCATGATTCTCTAAGTGGCTTCCACGGCTATTGCAAATGATCCATGTGAAGCCCAAGTCGCCAGGCCGTTTGCGGCTCAGATGATCGCAACAGGATATCGACAACGCCCATATTCGACGACCCCTTAATTTTGCCATTGAAGTGTCTGTCCTCATGATTTCCAACCGCATCAATGGCAACACACCCTACCCATGCTGTGTGCGGGCGGCACTGCTGACACGCATGGATCTGTGCTGCAGTGATGAAGCAGGGCAAATCGAGAAAGGTAACCAAGGAAGCCAGCGTTCCATTCATTGGCAACCTCCCTTTCGGACGCCTTGCCAAACACCAAGACGTGAAAGCTGTCCCCACACGAGCAAATGAACATGCGCCTGTTGCCATCCGCAAAAGGAACGCCGCTTTCGCTTTCGCAGCCATCCGATGGACGGAAAGAAAGAAAGAAGAAAAAAAACCAAGGTCTCCACTGAGAAGGACTCCATGGAGAAGTCCAGAGTCGCATCGTAGGACTTGGTCTGGCCAGCTCTGCGCCCCAGAGGGCTTAGGCCCATGCGATCGAAGAGATTTTCAGCGCGGACCGGGTCCATTTCTAAATGGAGGGTGTACTGTTGGTTTACAAACCAACCCAGTTGAAGCGTACCTTCAAAAGACACATATATGGAAAGGGAAGCCATTTGCACTCCATATGAGACAAACAAAACAACCAAACGCATTGTGTGACGTCTTCGATATATGTTTTGGAAAGCGAACATCCGATGTATAATATTACCTTGCCCATCACGTGGTGCCCTTTGCTTGCCCCTCCACCGGATATTCGTCAACGAAGTATCGAGATGCACTACTGAGTCATTTGCTGACATCTGTCAGCTGCGTAAACTTGGCAGTCAAACCGCCTTCTTTGCGCGTGGGGATGATTCCAAAGGACTTTAGCACAGGGCGTGCTTGAGGGATCATTACAATTCAGTGTTAGTCTCCACAAGAGATCTTCTGCCCAAAAAGACAATGTACAGCGTCTGCCGCCTGATCTTCGCGTCTTCCCGCCACATGTAGGCACTCAGCAACTGAACTGGTGAGCGCGTCGAAAGTGGCACGCCTTTTTCATCCTGCGGTCCTTTGACTCCAGGCTAGCCCTCAACCGAAGCATTGCCATGCTGAATAGCCCAACAGCAAGCGTTCTGCCGCACGTACAGATCTCTGGCTTGATACATCAGGCTGGTAGAGAATTCACCGTGCCTCATGCCCAAAAGGATCCAAAGAGAGACAGTAAGAATGGTGCGAACGCACAGTGAACAACAGGCTCTTGCGGGTCGCAACAGTTGGATGAGGCTGGATTCGAAGAATCCGTTGCAACATGTTCAAAGTTGGTTTCCCATTTATAAAACGGCTGACGAGCGAATTGAGCCAAACACACCAGCTTCGAGTAGGACGATAGAGTCTGTTCCTCCAAGAACACTCCCTGGAAGTCCTTGCTGGGCGTTCGGCCGAAAAACTGCAACCCGGCAGGGCTGCTCTCAGGGGTCAACACTCCGGTGAGGGGTGAAACTAGAGGGTGAGACATGCGAATTCAAATGGAAGGCCTTCAACTGCCGAGCTCTGAGAAAACATATGAACTTCATGAGGAACTGAAAGCTTCATGGAGGCTGGCAATAAATTTGAGGGGATAAATCACAAGACCAGGTAGTTGCTCAAAATAGGCTGTCAATCACCTTCATACCAACCCAGTGACAAGGATCACTGCTTTGCCAGCTTTGTTTCACAGCAAAGCCCGCTCTCTTTGCCTTTCCCGCTGTGCGAACGCCGGGGCTCTGCTTCGATTCGCCACACACAAGGCCAGCGCTCGGCAGAACATGGCATGTGCAGTTTGGCCGTATCTAAAATATCAGTCTCAACGGAGGCAAACAAAAAACTCAAAAAAAAAGCAGGGGCCGAACATGTGTCATTTAAGAAAGCCTGAAAAGCCTGGCTACCCGTTCTCAATAAAGGCCCAGCTGAAGGCGACTCGGAATTCGCATCGTCTCAGCCTCCCTTCAAGGCCTGGCACGGCGAGTCGGCCCGGGCAAATCGGTAAGACTTACCTGAGGCTGGCTAGGGACGCCACACGAGACTGGCTTGGGACGCCAGCATCCCACTTGCATAAGGCATAAGGCCAGAAGGCTTTCATGCTTTGCTTGCCAGCTAGACAAGCATCTCACTTCGCATTGTTGCTAGGCAGTGAGAGCGATGGTGTGCACTCTCCTGGGGCACAACCGGTGGTTCGCCTTCATTTCATCGCGGACGCCCTCCATGTGCTCTAACGTGCCTTTGACGTCCTGCGGAGGAGACACATGAAGCCTGAAGCCCACCTCCGTCTGAAACACTCCCGCAGCCCTACGAGTCGAGGTAGATTTGGTTTCTGCGCACTTGATTCTTGGGGAATTGGCCACTAAGATCTGGCTACATGGCCATCGCAGCTCCCAACCCCGCCCAAAGCGGGCGCAAGCGCTGAGATTCTCGACATCTGTCTGCCACTCCAACGACAAGGCGACAACTCAACCGACTGACCCGGGCAGTGCTTTCCTCCACTAGCTTTGCCACTTCCTCCTGCTGCGCAGCTTTGCAGTACCTTGCGGGAAGGGTCTGATAAATTGTGTCACAACAGTAGGCAGGACGGACTCATGAAGACAACAAACGATGTAAACATAATATTCGTGCAAAACCGCATTGCCGTTTCTCTTTGTTGCTCTACATTGCAAGTGACCGGAACATCTAATGATTCTCCTCATCTTGTCTGATTGCCTGCACATGTTCGCACTTGCTGGCTGCCTAGCCGGTGGGGCTCGCCAACCGTCTCCTCTCCAGGGTTAACAGCTTCGTCGGCGCTTGCCCAATTCGGTGCGTGGTAAAAGGCTGCTGGATTCAGATAATGTACCGGCTGTTGGATGATGTAAGGCTGGCTTCCAGCCAACTGGCCTCAGGGTTGAGCCATGGCCCATCTCTTTTCTCTGGAAACTACGGTGCTCCGCCCGTTGAAGGTGCAGCTTCCGCGTCTGTTTGTGTCACGAACCCTTCCCCCGTACAATGATGTACTCGTCGGTCCAGCTCCGGACGCTATCTTAGGGTGCTCCGGGAACAGACGCAGCCTATCTGGTGGACAGGACCCTGTAACAACTAACAAATACGTTTCTGCGGGTGAAAGTCTCTGTCATTCACAAGTGTGAAGCGCGACTGAGCTTGAAGCAAGAACTGATGAAGTGCCTGGACTTGAGAATATAGAACGCATGGCCCTGCCCACAAAACAAGGGATGCCAAGCTCGGCAAATTCAGGCGGATAGCAAATCATGCCAATGACCTAGACATGATACCAATCAAGCATCGAACTAGCACATCACACATGTGCCACTTACCGCCTGCGTCCGTGATCCACCTAGGGGCGCACCACAGGTGGTAGCCTTGTGGTGCATTAGATCCCTTCGCCTCGATGCGGCGCTCGAGCAGAGTTTCAGAAAGTCCACGCCTCCCCTGTACCCTGGTACATGTGGCTGTCCTTGAAAACACAAAAAGAGCAAAAGAGGGGGTGGTTGCTTGTGCTAGTTCCGCGAATGGATTCTATCGAAGTTCAAAGTGCTGGGCCAAAATATCAAATCTCCTGCTAGAACTTTGCAGATGAAAGCTGAAAGGTCAGGCGACTAATTGCAAATCGCATGTAGCTGCAAACACTCTTTGACTCGACCTTTGCCAGGGTGCACACACAAATACACACCAAGCACCCCTTGGCAGAGAAAGTAAGTTTGTTGAACAATCATGGTGATCTGTGGTTACTCAACAGCAAGGGCAAGCAAGGGGTAAGACCCCGCTTGGAACCGTCCAAGCGGTGCCGCATCTAAGGCAGCTGCCCAAGGCTCTTGGCTTTGGTAGGCACCCAGCATGATCAGCGCCTGCCGGGGGCAAAAACAAACGATGATGGTGGTGCTGCTGCTGCTGCTGCTGCTGCTGCTGCTGCTGCTGCTGTTGTGATGCATAACATCTTTGCCAAAACAGCCAACTATGCCCGCAACACTGCCAAAGTGCTTGCCCTTTCAGGCCAAATCTATTTCCAGTAGTAATAAATTTGAGAACCGTGGGCGGGGAGTTGAACTAATCTGTGTCCCATCAAGCCCACAGCCAATGGCAGCTGATAACACCCTGCCTGGCACACGAAGAAGACGAGGCTAGCACCCGGGATATTCCTGAGGTGAATCCCGGTGGGGGGTCATGCCCGTTCGTTCGCGAACTGTCCTAAGACCAACGCGCTCGCCACACGACTGCAACGAACCACAAGGGGCAAGCAGGATTTCTTGAACCAAAGCATTGGCCCACGGCGGGGCTTCATCGTTATGAAAACCTTCGCATGCGCAGGTTTTGCTTATGGCAATTGAGCTCATGCTTCCGGTCAATGAAGCAGGGCTGGAATACCCTGATATCTAAGTATGGAATCAGCGCCTGATGATGTCACACGACACATCACAAGTGTCGGAGTTGCCAAAACCGCCGACTGGAACATGTTCAACCTATATGATGATTGAAGACTACTGTTTTGGGGGCTTCCCTTCAAAGAGGGCCATAGTCCGATTGTTTGCTCTTCGCTGGAGCGATTTCAAGGACTCCCTGGCCTGAATCGAGCGTTACTCGCATTTGCGATGCGCCTCTCCCAGAGCAAAGGCCCTCCTAGGCCATCTCTCCCCGTTCAATGCATGGTACAGGTGTGGCAAGGAGCAGCTCCAGCAAGTCCATGGAGCATATAAGAACCATGGAAGGCAGTGGCATTGAGGCTAGGCTGTGAGAAAGGCGCGCATATCCAGGCACGGAAGAAGCCATGTGACAGAAGAGACCACAGCAATGACAGAAAGGCGAGCTATAGGTGGCAGATTCACACTTCATTGGACTTGGTTACAAGCAACATTTACGCATGTGGGTGTCTTTTGATAGGGGAACCCTGAAGTTGGTTGGATTCCCTTTGCTTTCCTTTAACGCAACCGCAAATCAGGTACTGTCAGAAAACAAACGCCACGACTGTGTGGTGTTCAAACAAGCCCTGTGTAAAAGTGTCAGAGGTGGCAGCTGCAAAATAAATAATCATTGGCACAAATTCAAATTGCTCTGCTGGACACAGTCGCCATGCAGCACGTTGCCAGGTAGCTAGAGTTGCACTCCCAGGCAATGGTAGAGAAAATGTATGCCCGGCATGCATGACAAATGCTCCCTGATGACGGGAATGGGCGTCATTAGAAGAATCAACTGCATCGCTGGCAAGCAAGATCTTAATGCTCCTTGCAAAATGTCAAATGTTGCATCTAACGACTCCTGTGCAAAAAAAAAAAGGCTGCCAAACTGCTAAGCGGTTGCAAGAGCATCTCAAGTCATGATCTTGTAGCCAAGCATCGTTTGATGATAGATCATCCCGTAGATCCTCAGCATGCCATGGTTTGGTCCGTTTACTGCGTCATGCGAAAGCAAACACAATGAC